GTTGTGCCAACTTATTCACTAGAACACAAAGCCATCTATGATAACTTCAAATCCATTTTTCATTTCTTGGATCTCTTGATGAACAAAACTGAAGATATTCCTAAAACGTATCAAAACCTTCTGATTTCCTCAAGTACAATCCAGGAAATAATATGCCAGCATATGCTGAAAGAAGATAAGCAGGTATCAATCATCTTAGCTTTATGTACAGCGATCTAGAAAGCTTATATTTTTTAACATTTTTTTTACAAGTAGAGATGGAAATTAATTCATTAAGAATATTTTCTCCTCAAGATTATGGAACAGCTTTACATCTTAAAATCTCAACAATAAAATTTGGACCCACCATTGATATTAGTTTTGTGGCACATAATTTTGTATGGAGAAGCAGCATCTATTTTTTGTTTTCCTTTCCTATAGAAGTTCTCTATTTTTAGCTGCAATCATAGTACATTAATGTGATCAAAATTTTCTCCATTTATTCACAACTGGACAAAACCATTTTGACTTTTAAAAACCCATTAGCACTTCAATGGATGTGCAAGATGGTTGCCATATTCATTGCATGATCCATTGATGTTGAATGTGATCAAATGAGGCCAAAGCACCATCAGTTGTGTTTAAAGCTCCATGATAAATGCATATCCATGCTTAAAGTACTATCTGATCACATATACCGTGACAGGGGTGGAGCCGGAATGTGTCTTACAGGGGGCAAAATTTTTTAAAAATGAATGTACGAATAAAATTTATATATAACTAGACAAATTGTAATATAACGTTATATATTACAATTGTACCCGACGATATTATATAATATAAAATTCATCTATAATAGAATCTAGATCTAAATTAATACTAAATTCTCGTTCAATGTTTAGTATTAAACAATCAGCAAGAAAAACTTCATCCATTCTATTACGAATTTCCGTCTTCACATGTTTCATTGCTGAAAATGCTCGCTCCACTGTCGCTGTTGAAACCGATAGTATCAGTACTAAATGAATCAATTTAGTCAAAATGACTTAACTTTCCGACCTTCTACTTGCAACTAATTCCCAACATAAATCAAAAAGTGTAGGCACTTGAAATCGAGGTTCGGTAATCACATCATTCTTATAATGTTGCAACTCAATTTTCAAACAATAAATATCTTGTTACGAAAAATCTTCTGTATACAACTTTTGTGCAAGCTTGTAGATATTATCCATGTCAAATGATTCAAAAGAATTTGTTGGATCCAAAGCCGTATTGAGAGAAATGAGTTCTAACGATGTCTCATTAATTCTTGTATCTAACTCCATCATCTGACAATCTATGGTTGTATTGAAAATATCAAAGTGGTAATGATGTTCAACTGTAGGATACTCACGACCACAAGAACGACCAACCATGTACAAACCATCAAAGTCCGGTATACGTATATCATTTTTTAAGCAAAAAAAGTTTCACCTCTTCAAAAAATTCTTCCCAACCATCTTCTCTCAATGCTTGAAGGATACTTTTTGTAGTATGAACAAATATCATAGCAGTTAAAATGTCTTGAGTTTTCTTCTGAAGGGCCTGACAAAGTACATCCGTAATTGCCAACATTCTACGCATTAAATTCAAGATAAATACAAATACAAATGCAAATGTTGTCATGGGTTTGTATACACCATCAAGTTCGGACCAAGTTCTCTTATTTGGAAAATGATCACTAAGATACTCAAACACTTTGCAAGTTGCAACATACATATCAATCAAGCTCTTTACAGAGTTGTAATGAGAAGACCAACGAGTACCTCCGGCTCGTTGCAAATTACCAATCTGATTAGCCCCACTTCCTGACTCTCGTTCTCCAATTTCTAACAAATGCTTAATTTCTTTTCTTTGGGTACTTTTCAATTCATTGATACACTTAGGAGATGATGTAATCAAATTAATAACACTGTCTAAATGAGAAAAAATCAATTAATATCTGAGACATCCCTAACTGCAGAAACTAATGTGAGTTGTAAATGGTGGGCAAAACAATGGACATAGTATGCATATGGACAATCTCTAAGGAATAATGCTTGTAGTCCATTCCAAGAACCACGCATATTACTAATACAGTCATATCCTTGACCTCTCATGTTTTGCACTTGAAGGTTGAAACGGACAAGAATATTAGAAATCTGATTCTTAAGATTTAATGAGGTAGTGTCACTAACGCTTTTGATTGCAAAGAAACGTTCTATCAAAATTTCATTACTACTCACAAACCTCAAGACAATGGCCATTTGGTCTCGTGAAGATTCATCCCGTGCTTCGTCAACAAGAATACTGAACTTCGCATCCCCAACTTCGTCATGAATTCTTTGTCGTACTTTATTGGTCATAATGTTTAAAACCTCTTTTTGAATGTTTGGAGACCTGTATGTAGCATTTTTGGGAGCATTACCCAAAATAACATTTCCTACTTCCACATTTATTTTTCCAAATGCATCTACCAGTTCAATGAAATTGCCTTGATTCATCAAAGATTGAGATTCGTCATGGCCTCTAAAGGAACAATCTTGAAGTGCTAACCACAGAACACACTGAATAGTGGTCTTTAGACGCAAATAGTTTTTCTATTTTTCCTCGGCTGATACAGATTGCATTACCTTACCAATATGTTGATTTGGTTTCATTAGATCTTTAGATCTTCTCTTACAACCATCATGATACGATGACGATGTTGTACCAACATAAATAAGGAATGCACATTTACTTCCTTGGTTAACCCTCTTCCAACTGTCAAATCCATCTGTCACCAACGATGAAATAATAGATGGTGCACTATCATTGAGAAAAATGAAGCAATAAAAACAATATGCTTTGTGTGTTGAAGGTGAATATTCCAACTAAGAAAACTGATTGTACCAACGCTCCTGAAATCGACGTTTCTGCTTTCCACATTCTTTACTCTGATAGTCCAAAAGTTTTGATTGATAAGGTCCAGCATTTAGATAGGCTCGCCTAATCTGATTGCGTTCATTAAATGGATGTTCACATATTTGCTTTCTTTTTCCTGGGTCCCGTTCAATAGAATCAAGTGGTTCCACATTAAGATGAAGATCGTTTAACTTCAGGGGATGAAATTGGATTTGGAGTGGATGCCGTTGGAATTGGAGTACCCTGATATTTGTTACTCTTTGAAAAGAAAGATAACAAAGTTCTTCCTTTCTTGGAAGAAGATCGATCTTCCTCCATATTAAACCCAAGAGCATAAATATAAAAAAAAACTTCAATATCCTATAAATTCTTATCATTATATCATAGGTTAAATTGCTATTGGCTAAATTCCAAACTAACTTTCCCATTTTAGCAACTAGCAGCAGTTCAATTTCAAATTAATCAATGGAGTATAATTATAAATTTTAGCAACTAGCAGCCCCTCTAATCACTAATGTGGCCTCAGCATCAGTGCATCTAACTACATTACTACACTAACACTGCACTGCACTACACACACATACACACAATTAATCACTGAACTTTTCCATTTTATCAAATATCACCGAACTTTTCCAATTTCCATCTAACTGCATTACTATTTACTGCGCTGCACACAAAATAACACAATTACAAACACAATTGAAGGCCACAGGCGCAAACATACCTCACTGGTGCAGTAAATGAAGGCTGAACTGAAGCCTGAGGTGGTGAACCCTAGCCTAAAGGCTGAAGCACAACTCACAGTCACAACCGCACGCACTGCACATACAAAACACGAACTTCCTATCAAGATTTGGAGACTGGAGTGAACTTTTTTAACTTGAACTACATCATCTAGATATGTTCGTTTATACTCTAGATTTAGTCATTTTGTAGACCTTACCTCGGTGTCGCAACTGCCGCCAGAAAAGGGAATGAGACGACACAACAGATGGCTTTCGGTAACCGAATTTAATTGAGCGTTCGGACTTCGGTGGATGTTGGACTTCGGTTGACGCCTTGACGGGAGGGTTTGGTTGGCCATTTCGGTTGAGTGAGTCAGAGAGAGCAGAGAGGCGGAGAGGGTTTTGCGTAAAAGGGGTGACTTGTGAGAGAGGGTTGCAAATTGGGTTTCTCAAATTGAGAGAGTGAAATTGGGCTTCAACAAAAATTAGGTTAGTGGGTTGGACAGTGGGCTATCTATTGGGTTGGACAGTAGGCTAAATTGGGCTTTAACCATTTTTTTTTTAATAAGTTGGGCTTGGGCAAGGGTGGGCTACAGCCCACCCCTATCTCCGCCAATGTACCGTGAGGAAGTTGAAATTTTTCCATTGTTTAGAAAATTCTTCTCCATTGAGGAACAAGAAAAGATGGTAGAATATGCTTGGAAGCACAAGGGCATAATATCTGCAACAAATGATACCCTGGTTAATGGCATATTTCAGGCTGCTACAATTTATGTGTATCCTTATTTCTTTCATTTCCATTTCATCCCTCCAAAATTCAATTACATGCCGTGTTTTCTTGTTGTGTTTGTTGTAAGACTACACAAGAGAGATTGAATTGCCAGTATTTACATTTGCCTAAAAACCAGATTGCACAATTTTATTTTTTGGAATCGTGTTTTCACCATTTATGTATAAAAATAATGAATATATACAATTCACACAAAAATACTTTTACAGAATCTAATATTTCTACGCTAATAACAACAAAATAATTACAAAACTCGTGCAACGCACGTGTCATGGACTAGTAGTGGTAGAATTTGTGGATATCTTCGTTTGGATTTTGTGTATCTCATTTCTCACCTGGAACCCAGTCCTATAATGATGACAATTTTGTAAAATGATAATATTAAAAAATGCTAAAGTAGATAATGTGCAAACTCATTTCTTCTCCTGTCATTCTCATTAATAAAAGAACAAATCTGAATAATTCTGAAAGATGATCTATAAATGCACTAAGTTCACTTGCAACCCTGCACATAACGATTTTTTTTTTTTAGTGGTGAAAGTCATTGCGTTCGTGTGCTATCAAACAAGATAACAATCTTAATGGATTCTAGTTTGTATAGAGCTGCACAAGAGGGCAATCTCAATACCCTGAGAGAAAAGATGGAACTTATTGGCACCACTCAATTGACACCAAACAAGAATACTTTACTTCATGTTCTTGCCCAGTTCAACAACTCCTGCGAATGCGCTTCAGAAATCCTCAGGACAAATGAATCCTTACTCTATGAAGTGAATTCAGATGGTGAGACCGCGCTCCACATTGCCGCAAGAAATGGCAAGATGAATGTCGGGAATGAGATGATGAAATTTGCGAAGAGATTAGATGGAGAGCTTGAAGCCGGAGGCGGAGCACTCAAAAAGCTGCTAACATGGAAAAATAGAAATGGAGACACTGCATTGCATGAAGCTATAAAGAATGATCAGCCAGAGATGGTCCGTTTGTTGATAGAAGAAGACCCTGCAATTGCAAATATAGCGAATAATGCACTGGAAACTCCACTTTTTCTTGCTGTTAGTAGCATTCTGGGTGATGAGAATCGCTTTTTATATGTGAGACTCATAATAAAATGCTCCTCACCGACTTACACTGGGCAGAAGGGAAAACTGCTTTGCATGCCGTGGCTTCATATAATTGGGAAGGTAAGTCTTCAATTTTATTAGTAACAACTCTTTGTTCTTTAAGAAGATGCTCTTGAAGCTTAATATAGGTTGAAGGGAATTGGACTATGTCAAGTGTTCATCATTCTAGTACATGCTTTTTCTGCATGAGAACTGCTTTACTTGCCTCTAGCTAATGCCTAATGCTCACTCAAAATTTGATGAATGCAGGAATCTCAAAAGAGTTGGAAATATATCCAACTATAATAAAGGAAGTAGATGATTTTGGACGGAGTGCTCACCATTATGCTGCCCTAAATGGATCCAACGAAGTAGCAAAGGAACTATTAGAGGCTGATAGATCAATAACATACATAGTTGCAGAAAATGATAACAGTAAGACAGCTCTCCATATAGCAACTTGTGAGGGGAACGTAGAGATAATGGAAGCGATTTTAGCATCTTGTCCTGATTGCTGGGAGATGGTTACTAGAGATGCCCGAAATATTCTACACCTTTCCGTGGAATTCGAACAACAAGAAGCATTTAAATTTATCATGACAAATTCATGGGTTGAAAACCTCATTAACCAAAAAGATGAAGAGGGAAACACACCTCTCCACGTATATGCTGCAACTCCCAACTTCCACGGCCGTGATCTTGTAAACCATCCACTAGCAGATAAGAATGCAGTGAACAAGAAAAATATGACGCCTTTTGATGTGATAACGTATTCCGATGTCTATTCAGTAAGACAGGTAAAGATGATCTCCCTTCAATTCTTTTTCATTTTTCATTTTCTGAATGGAACCACTTAACTTTCACTTTATTTCTTATACGACGTGGAAAAACAATTTGAAAGATGCAAAAGGGATATGTTTCTATCCTCTTATCATAATAATGTGACAAGTCGAACTCGTGAGTTTTCTAAAATAAGTGACGCTCTAAATGAAATGACAGAGGACAAATACCTTCTTTTCCTATTATTGGTTTTAGGACTAGCTTGTTTGGTAGGAAAAGCTACAATTCGGGATGGTATACAAGAAAAATAAGTTAAACTATTATCTATAGTATGTGTACCAAACATGTCTTGGCGAAAAATGAGGATGCCAGAAGTGAAGTTTCCGGGTCTAATAAAAGCGTCTACCAGAGAATGTGCCGCTCATGTATAAATTTTTTTTTTAGTTGATCCTTTTGTCTCTAATTCGACTCCTTGGTTTGACACAATGCAGAATACCGTACAGAAGGAATTAAAAAAGAAAGATGCTCGTACGAGTGTCTGGAATGCCTCGATTCTTGATAATAGTTCGCGATTGCAGAAGAAGAAAGTTTATCTTGAAAATAAAAGGTTGGTTCCAATAGATATTAGAAAAATAGCTGACACTCAGATGGTAGTGGCAGCTCTCATAACAACAGTTGCATTTGCTGCCGGATTCACCATTCCTTGTGGGTATGATGGAAATGATGGCCCGAACGAAGGCCTTGCAATTTTATCAAGAAAAGCGGCTTTTAAAGCGTTCATTATAACGGATACATTAGCTATGGTTTGCTCTACTTCTGCTATTTTTCTCCAATTCATTGGAGCCAGTTTAACTGACAAGTTGAAGCTTATGCGCTCGTATCTTTATGCTGCAATGCTTGTAATAGTTGCCATGGGTGCGATGGTAATTGCTTTCATGACCGGTTTGTACACGGTGTTAGAACATTCACTAGGACTTGCGATCATAGAATGTGTCATTTGCAGCTTCTGCTTTCCTGTTTTCTACTACTCAGTGAAAAGGGCATTTAGTGAGAGTTATTAAAAGATTTGTAAGTTTATGCACTATTCTCTTTTATGCTTACTCTGTTGGACATTCTTTATACCTTCGTATTATGCCATATTTAATTGCCAAAAGTACCCTAATCTGATAAAAGTTCTTAATTTTCATTAAAATCCGTAGGATGATGTACTAAGCCTACTAGCCACGTTTGTTAAAATGCTGATTATCAATCAATGTTAACTTCCAATAAAGTGATAAGTCGAGGCAGAATCTGTTGGGATATTCACTCTGTTATGAACACAAATTGTTCGTAAAGAAAAGTGGAAAAAGAGAGAAATGAATAGAGAAAATTATTAGATCCTTCCAGGAAAACTATAGACCTCCCAAATTACTGGTTTCGAGGGACCAGTCCCCTCCGAATGATGACATAAAGTTCCAAATAATCATCTAGGTACTAGTATTCATTGACTGCTTAATAATTCTTGTTAGAATTCGTTAATTGAAGAATTCTAATTGAAGTGCACGTAATGAAGAATTCTAATTTGGAATATTATTGGAGTCCTATATCATGTTGAAATTCTATTTTGAAAGCTTATTGGGAGTTGTAATTTGTTTTGGACTCAANTTTGAAAGCTTATTGGGAGTTGTAATTTGTTTTGAACTCAATTTTATGGTATCCTACTTCATCAACAACTCTATTAGGTATGTTTGGACACCCCCTACTTATTCCCTATAAATACTAGGCTCTTCTATACAATTTTATGGTGTGAGAATATAGATTACTAGAATTATAGGATCCATTGTAATTTTCTCTCTTCTCCATTATTTTTGAGTAAATAAAATCTCTTAATTTCTCTGTCATGTTCTTATCTTTATTATTCTTTTACTTGATCAAATACTTCATTATTATTTTCCATATAATTTCAATATCTTGATCTGGTGATTTGTTTCACGACAATTGGTACCAGAGCTATTCTAGTATCTTGATTGTTTTGCAACAAGTCGTATCAGAGAGACAGGTTCAGCAGTTCCGTAAGAACGCAATGTTTGATTTGTTCGAGGTTTTTTATTCGTGATGGCTTCCATGAAGTATGACATTCCACACTTAGATCGGAGCACTAGATTTTCGCTATGGCAGGTTAAGATAAGTGCAGTACTCGCACAACTGAATTTGGATTATGCGTTGTTGGGAATTGACAAGATGCTCGCAACTTTGAACGCAGAGGAGAAATTACGGAAGCATAAGAAGGCAGTTTCTCACATTCACACTCATCTTCATCTATCAAATACTATTCTTCAGAACGTTTTGGAGGAGAATTCAGCAGCTGCTTTATGGTTGAGGTTGGAACAATTGTGCATAACTAAAAGTCTAACAAGCAAGTTGAACCTCAAGCAGCGTTTATACTATCATCAAATGGCAGAAGGAGGATAGTTGGAAGATCACTTGGCTATATTTAAGGAGATCGTCGCTGATTTGGAAACTTTGGAAGTAGAGTATGATGGAGAAGATTTGGCCTAGATCCTATTGTGTTCGTTGCCCATTTCTCTTTCTTTATTTAGAGACATAATCTTATATAGTCGTGATACTCTCACCATTGAGGAGGTTTATGATGCTTTGTTTTCAAAAGAAAAGATGAAGCATCTAGTTTCTGAGGCTAGAGATTGAAAGGGCCAGGTTACTCATGGTGGTTCTAGAAGGGACAGATTGAAGTTGAAGTCTAGTAATCAAATTTGTAACTACTACAAGAAGAAGGGACACTTAAAGAATGATTGCTACAATTGTAGAATAAAGAAATGATGGCTACCAGTAGATATTCAGATACTTCAGGAGAAGCAGATCTCGTGGAGAATGTTGTAAGTGATGGAGAACTCTTAGCTATTTTTGATATTGAGTCTAAACCGGAAGATAATTGGATTCTTGATTCAGCATGTGTGTTTCATATGTGTCCTAATAAGGACTTGTTTGCTACATATGAAACTGTTTCCAAAGGTGTCGTCGTTATGAGAAACAACGCATCTTGTCAGGTTGTTGGAATTGGTAC